CACTCTACACCTCTACCAGGACAAGAGGACACAGAACATCCCCCCCTCCAACCCCCACCCCCCCCAGGCTACTCACTGCCCTCTGCCAGCATCCTCCATCAAATGCAGGAAAACTTCCACCATCACCTCTCAGAACTAAGTCGCAAGCCCATCACCTCCTAGGACTTGCCCACTACTCCACTGCTCATTCAGCTTCTTCTGTTCTACAAACTACCCCGCCAAATGCCGCCAGCTAGAGATAGCAGCTGATTGGTCCACAGATGATCATCTGACCCAAATGCAGCTCATCCATAGGCCAGCTGTGAGCCTATCATCTGTCCTGACACAAAGGCCCTACCAGCCATTCACTAAGTCAACCAGAATTTTAAACCACATGGGATATGGAGGACTTAGAGCCCACTGATAGCAGCAAAAGCCAACAGAAGCAAAAGCCATGCTTGAAAGAGTTAATGAGGGGGCCAGAATGAAGGCTACTTGGGTAAAACATTTCCAACCAAGCCTGATAAAAGATGGTCAATCTCTAGAACCTGTTTGAAGGTACAGCAAAAGAACTGACTCCACAGAGTTGCTTTCAGTACCAAACACACACACATACACACACACACACACACACACACACACCTTGTCATGTGTGCCCAAATTCATACATCATACACATACAATAATTAATAATAATAATAATTAATATGATTAACAACAAAAATGGCCATAGAGATGACTAAGAGGTCTTGCCACCAAGCTTGATGACCAGTGTTGTATTCCTGGGACCCACAAGGTAGATGGAAAGAACTGACTCCAGCAAGTTCACACATACACACACACACACACACACACACACTATGTAAATAAACATATAACTTAAAATTTTTTTAAAGTTAATGAACATCCAGATGCTGAGGTCCTCACACCATCCTGGATGCAGGCTGTCTCAGTTTCCCTGAGCTCCAGAAGGATGACTGCTTCTCCTATTGGATTTCCATACGAATGCCTTTTTTTGTGTGTTCTGTGGGCTTTAATGAAGTTGTTCCAATAGCCTTCCTATAGCTGAAACTGTATACATTCATAGTGTGGGGCTCTTTTTGTACAAACCTACTTCACGTGAAGCTAGTCGCGAAACGGGACTTTACTGCAGGGATGTGGAATTTTGTGGGAGCAGAAGCAACCAGAGCATGGGGGTCAGTCAGTCCATTTCCATTACAGGCTTTGCAAGGAGAGGCCCCTCGCTCACTGATCAACTCACAGGCACAGTAGCAGTCGCCTTCATTCCCAGAGCTCAGGAAGCAGAAGCAGGAGGATTTCTATGAATTTGAGACCAACCCAATCTACATAGTGAGTTCCAGGTCATCTAAGACAATAGAGTGAGAATCTATCTCAAAATAAAGCAGCAACAACAATAATAACATAAACAAGTAGAAAAAGAATCTGACCACATTTGGATCCTTCCTCTAGTGGGCCGTGATTCAGCCCAGCCCATCAGAAAATCTGTGGTACTGTGACATTGAATTCTCTGTGTTCTTCATAGGCCTATCCCAGCTATCCTGTTCTTGTGACCCTGTCCTCAGCAAGGTTCCAATCAGAACCAGAAATGTCCTCATGTCCAGGCCTGGCACAGCTGAGAAGACAAGATTCTTCCAAGACCCAGGAGCCAGGACAGCTGTCTAGGTAGGGGGAAAGTCCCTGCTCCTGCCAACCAGCCCCAAGCCTGGCTGTGACACTCAGTCACCCACTTGGAAAGGGGCACCCAGCACCAAAAAGCTGCAGACATCTCCCACCCACAAATAATAACCACGATTTCTCATAATTATTATTTGTGTATTTTGCATAATTGTCATAATTATTATCATCAGCTCATCAGCCTCTCATCCCAGCATGCTCGCCTCCCATCCTCAGCTCTAAACCCTGATCACATGAGCACCCTCTCCTGACACCCACTTTCTCCCAAGAGCCTGTCTTCAAGGTCCCCTCCAGAAACAGGACAAGACTCTCAAGAGGGTCCTTCAGTCCGGTTTGTCCTGGAACATTTCCAAGCAGTGAGCCCACTCTAGAGATTGAGGAGACAGAGGAACTCTGGAGAGGAGTGGCCTCACCTACTGTGTTCAAAAAAAGAAAGCTGGCCTGGACATGGCACACACCTTAAATGCCAGCACTCAGAAGACAGAGGCAGGTGGATCTCTGGGAGTTTCAGACGAGTCAGGAATACATAAGGAGAAGGAAGGAGGGAGGGAAGGAGAGAGAGAGAGAGAAGGAGAGAGAGAGGGAGACAGAGAGGGAGAGAGAGAGAGAGAGCACATAACAACTGGTCTCCCTTTGATCTGTGTGATAATCAGCCTGTGTCAGATTAGGAGAGCTACTGTCATCCCCTCCCCACAGCTACGTATTCACCGAAGTGACTCATAACTTGAAATGGGCATTTACACCGAAGAAATTAGGGGAGAAAGCCTTTGTTCCAGAGTGACAGCATTTGCACACTTGCCAACACATCCTCAAACTTATCCAAGGTAGTCTTGGAAAACTGCAAATAAAGGAATATCTGCAACACTCTGTATGGACACTGCCACACGCGTTACAAACACATACGAAGAAATGGGTTTCACTGTGACACTTTCACACATACACAACGTGGTGTTTTCCTCTTCCTCCCTCCCCCCACTCCTCCCCACAAACAGTCCCTCCTCCTATTATTATGTCACATACATTCCCTGTCTCTTGTTCCCCACCCCTTCCTCTCAGTCCCTTCATGCCCTGTGTGTGTGTGCCAGAGCCCTCTCCTTAGACAGGATCTCAACTATCCTGGGCTGGCATTGAACTTGCAACATAACCAAAGATAAGCTACACTTCTGTTCCTCTGCTTCCATCACAGGTGCCAAAATAAATAAATAAACAAAACCACCTTAAATTTACCACATTCCCAGCTGCAGCCTGCCTCTCTCACTTTTCCCATGACCATTTCCCTGTGAACTTCCAGAATCTTCTGTATCTTAGAGCTCATCTCCAGGCCCCTCATGCTCCACTATCTCCCTTCAGCCCTTGTCTCTCCCACTGCACATGGACCCCTCACGTGGCCTCACAGGTCAGCAGGCTGGTGAGCTATCTTGGCTTGGAGTTCCCAGCAGTACTAAGTCTAGAACCACCCATCTGTGGCCCCAGCTCCAGTGGGCCAAAACCGCTGTTCCTCCAGATCTCATACAGTCTAACACTGTTGGATTGGACAGAATCAAGCAGAATCAAATCCAGCAGTCTGAGAACACAGCACCCAAGATAGGCTGTGACCGAGATCCTCAGGGAAGTTCCCAGGTCAAAGGGAGATGGGATCCAGGGAGGTAAGAACAGACCGGATGCCTCAGGTGGGCACAGATTAACAGGAAGCAACATTAGGCCCTGGCTCAGGAGCTCATTAGACTTGCCAGGGCACCAACTCACTGAGTCCCTATTACCTATTCCTCGTTGCCAGGGACCTCCAGTGACTCCCCAGGGTACCTGTTTCTCCCTTCTTCATTTCTATGCTGCCTATGGCTAGAAGCCCCACCCACATCCATCTGTCTTACAGCCACAACCCTGAGGAAGGGAAGGATGGGGGCTCCATAACCCAAGTGAAATCTACATGAAAGCAGGAAACAGTGTGACTCTTCCAGTGCACCTCAATCTGTAGGCGGAGACTCCCAGCTCAGAGAACATTCCTTGAGAACCTCCGTGGAGCAGAACAAAGAGCATCAGAAGCAGGGGTAAATAGGAACAGAATAAGCAAAACCAAACCTGACAGGCCAGGGGTCTGCCTTCTGCGAAGACGCCCACCACACAATCTGAGCACGGAGCACCCACGATTTCAACACCAGAAAAAGGAAAGGCCAAGAAAGGAAGGGCCAAGTCCATGACCGTTTCACTGGACAAAAGCCAGCGTCCTTTGACAAGCCGGTGCACACCCAGCTGATGAGGCAGGTGCCTTGGCTCTGGCTGAGTCCAGTGAGGGTGTGACCCATGTGACACAAGCCTTCTGTTTGGTTGATTTTTGGTTTTTGTCTTTTTTATTGCATTCTTAATCTTTTTAGGAAGCATACAAAATAATGGTTTGGGTTTTAAGATAGTGTCTCCTGTAGCTCAGGCTGGCCTCAAGCTTGTCCTGTAGCTGAGGCTGGCCCTGAACTCCTGATTCTCCTGCCTCTTCTTCCCAAGTGCTGGTTTACAAGTGTTCAATACCATGTTTGGTTTAAAATAATGGGCTTCATTATGACATGGTCATGCATATCTGTCATAGCATCTGGCTGCCATTACTCTGTGACTCTCCCTCACCTGCAACCTCACTGTCCCCTTCCTCTCCCAGAGTCCTCTTTTGCTTTCATGCATATGTGTGTACTTAAATCTAGATTCTTCAAATGAGAAACAATTGACTTTGTCTTTCTTCCCCACTATCCGCTCTTGTTCCCCTCTCCATCTCCCTTCAGATCCTTTCTCTGCTAAGATTCAGCCTTCTACTTTTATGTCATATACAGATTTATATTATATTTAAGTCTAGATTCCTCATTCAAGAGAAAACACAAAATGTCTGTCTTTCTGAGTCTGGCTTGTTTCACTTAACATGATGTTATCCAGTTCCTGCCATTTCCCTGTTGTCTTAGTTAGCATTTCTATTGCTGTGAAGAGACACCAGGACCACAGAAACTCTAAGAAAGGGAAAACATTTAATTGGGCTGGCTTACATTTTCAGAGGTTTAGTCCATTATCACCATGGTGCAACATGGTGGTGTGCAGGCAGACATGGTACTGGAAAAGCATGTAGAGTCCTACATCTTGACTGGCAGGCAACAGGAAAAGGTATGTCTCACTGGGTGTGGCTTAAGCATATATGAGATCTCAAAGCCGGCCTACACAATGACACACTTCCTCCAACAAGGCCACGCCTACTCCAACAAGGCCACACCTCCTAATAGTGCCACTCCCTTTGGGACCATTTTCTTTCAAACCACCACACCTGCATACTACATAATTTCATTTTCTTTTTTTTCTTACTTAGTTTTTATTCATAATCATAAACTTAACTCTGCAATCCAGCTAGACTTGGATGGGAATGAGGAAAATATGGAACCCAAAGAATTTCAGTGAGAGCAGAGATTAAAGGGAATTGCGAGCAGATGGGGGCGAGGGATGCTCTCCTGAGCTACAGAGGGAATGGTCTGGTGGGTATGAATTAGAGTTGCCCAAGTCGGAAATGGCGATCTTCTTGCTGGTCTTGCCGTTCCTGGACCTGAAACATTCCATGGCTTCCACAATGTCCATATCTTCTTTCACCTTCCCAAAGAGCACATTTGCCATCCACCCACTTAGTCTTGACGGTGCAGATAAAAAAAAAAACTGGTGCAGATAAAAAACATTTGTGTTTGGTCCAGCATTTTCCATGGACAAGATGCCAGGACCTGTGTGCTTCAGGATGAAGTTCTCATCCTCAAACTTCTCTCCGTAGATGGACCTGCCGCCAGTGCCATTATGGCACGTGAAGTCACCACCCTGGCAAATGAATCCTGGGATAATTCTGTGAAAGGAAGAATCCTTATATCAAATCCTTTCTCTCCAGTGCTCAGAGCATGAAAGTTTTCTCTGTCTTTGGAACTTTGTCTGCAAATAGCTCAAAGGAGAAGCGGCCCAAGGGCTGGCCATCGGCCGTGATGTGGAAGAGCAGGGTGGGGTTGACCATGGCTGCAGGAAGAGGCAACGGGGACCTAATTTCATTTTCTTTACAATAAAGAAAACATGTGTGTGTGCATGAGCACATGGGCATTTCTTTATTCATTCATCTGATGGCAGACATGGAGGCTGCTTCTGGGTCTTGGCTTCAACTTAGCATTCTGTTCTGATGCCTCCCAGGCAGACGTTACTAATGGTAGGCACCCCCCTCCTTGTATGACGCTAATGCTTATGATACTCTTTCTGTTAGCCTAAGACTCTGTGTCCCCAGCCTCTTACTGTTCTCAAGGACTCAGTATCCCCAGCAATCACCCAGTGCCTAAGAGCTAAAGGTCAGGTGTCAGCCCAGTCACCATCATAAAACCATGAACAAGTCCCTTGTACCAGGCTTTGTCTTTTGGGCCACCAACCAGCTCCCAAATCCTGACACAGAGACTTATTATTCATTTTGAATGCTCAGCCTTAGCTTAGCTCTTTTCTTGCTAGCTCTTATAGCTTAACCTGTTTCTCTTCATCTACAATTTGCCTCGGGGCTTTTTACCTTAGCTTTCTTTCCTGCTGTCTCTCTGGCTGTCTGGCTGATGGCTGCCTGACTTCTAGCCCCGGGCGTCTCCCCTGCTTCTCTCCTCCTCCTCCTCCTCCTCCTCCTGTTATTCCTTCTCTTTTCTTCCTAGATTTCTCCTCCCATTTATTCTCTCTGTCCACCAGCCCCACCTATCCTTCCTCCCGCCTAGCTATTGGACCAATCAGCTCCTTATTGGACCAATCAGATGCCTTGAGCAGGCAAGGTGGAAACAAATGCAACCCATCTTTTCATAATTAAACAAATACAGCATAAGCAAAAGTAACACAACTTTACACAGTGAAAGTAGTATTCTGCAGCATAAACAAATGCCACACCTCTTCGCCTAGCTAAAATAATATTCCACAACAGTCCTTGTCTTAGTCTCTTCCCCCCAAGACAGGTGACAAAGGGTGCCTGCTCTTAGGATGGGAGGGGACTACAACTCCACGTGTGATGGGCAGAGTCTGTGAAACTTGGCAGCTAGGACTGACTGTGTCTCTCTCAACAGTCTTGGCATCAAGAGGGTGACTTCTTATTCAGGCCTCATCTGCCCACCGTATACCTCCCGACCATACACACAGCCACTGTACAGGGGTCGAGAAGCAGGCAGCGCAGCTTGTGTGAGGCCCTGGGGTCCATCCCCAGTACCACGCATGGGTGCATGTGCATGCAAACATGCGTGCCCGTACACACACACACACACACACACACACACACACACACACACACAAGTTCAAGGCCAGCCTGAGCTACAGGCAAAAGTTCTTTTTAAAAGTGACTCCGCCTGGACTCTTAGGGGAGGGCCTAGGCCCTGCCCTGGATGAAATGACAGACTTCTGGAGATCCTCCATGGAGGGCCTCACCCTCCCTGGAAATCGAAGTGGGGATTGGAGGGGGGAATGGGGGGCCTGATGGGGGGCAGGGGAGGAGGGGGAGAGGGAGCTGGGATTGACTTGTGAAGCAAGTTTGTTTCTAATTGAAATTAAAAATGAAGAGAAAAAGTGACTCCATCTCTTTCCTTGTGGTTTTCACCCTTCCTGTCAGGATGCCTAATCCTAAGGGTGAGCGTCAGCTACAACAAGCTGTGTCACTTGCAGGCATCACTCTCTGTCTGTCAAGAGGCTGCTAGCCTGCTCATCAGACAGAAAACACATCACCCTCTTCATGTTCACCCTCAGCAGTATGAGCAAGCACTGGGAATCTGCCCAGGGAGGTCACATGGAAGTTAAGACAGATCCTTGGTACTGAGCTCCCCCAGCACTTCCCTGAGACTCCTGAAGGAACTACAGTGTGGTGGGGACACACACACTAGCCATTACCTCAGTGGAAGCTGGGAGTTGGTGCTGAGCGAGGCTTCCTGGGAAGAGAGGCAGAGAGCTGGCCCAGCTGAGTGACAAGGGCCAGTGGGCTGAGGTACAGGAAAGAGCTAACCTAACCTTAGGGGTCAAAAGAAGTGATGTCCCTTAGCATGGAGAGCATAGACCTCCGGTTCTGAGCTGACCTTCATGGTAAACCTAGACTGAGGTCACAAGACAGGCTTGTCAGAGGCCATGGGACCCCTGACAAAACTCCAGTGCAAACTGCCAACCAACCATCCTTCCTACTTACAGGACAAGCTCACAAACAGGGCCTTGCTAGCCTCTCGTCCCCAGGGCAGTATAGTTGAAGCAGCATCAGGACAGCCCAGCTCGCCCCTATCCACGAAGTCTGAGGCTGGGTGGGGCCTTGGGGAGCCTGTCCATGAATGCAAAAACTTGATCAGAATGCTGAAGCCTTAAGCCAGCCTTCAGGAATGCCAACACACACACACACACACACACACACACACTTTACTCCATCCAACAGATAACACTGGAGCACCTGCCTCACCTACGCTGTACCTCCCATCAGCCCCAATACACACCTAAGCCTACCTCCTTCCTCTCCAAAAGAAGCATTTCCCACCCAAGCTCATTCCCGCCCCACCCAACACCCGGGTACCATATGTTCACTCAGGCACCCGACCCACACACCATACAACCCAACATACAAACATCAGATAATGCATCACGCATCAGCATGCCCACACGCTCACTCCTGTGAACTGGCTTGCCTCACAGCTTACAGACAGATGAGCATACACCCTCCCCCATCTGTGGCCATGTGTCTAGGGGTGGGGTCTGCTTAACCTCACAGAAAGGCATATTTGCTTCTCTTACAAAGAATCCGAGTTCTCAGCCGAGACGGTCTTTGGCAGGGTCCCGTCCATGGACAAGTTCTCTGTAGCGGTGTAGGTTGCCTCCATCCTAAATGACGGTCAAAGCTGTACTAGTTATATTTCTCCTTGTTGTGATAAAATACCTCGCCAGAAGCAACTTAAAGGAAGAAGGGCTGTGCTCGCTTCGATAGCACAGATACTAAAATTGGAATGATACAGAAAAGATTAGCATGGCCCCTGCGCAAGGATGACAGGCAAATTCATGAAGCGTTCATATTTTGTTGACATAGTGTGGAAGGAAAGAAGGAGGGAGGGAGGGAGGCAGGGAAGGAGGAAGGAAGGAAGGAGGGAAGGAGGAGGGAGGAAAGGAGGAAGGGAGAAGGGAAGGAAGAAAGAAAGAAAGAAAGAAAGAAAGAAAGAAAGAAAGAAAGAAAGAAAGAAAGAAAGAAAGAAAGAAGAAAGAACGAGCTTGGTCTTACATAATTTAAGGGGACACATATCCCACTGCAGTGGCAAAAGTGTGGTTAGCAAAGCCATGGGCGGGGGGAGGCTCACACAGCATTCACACCCATGATGCAAAGAGACAAGTACTACTCAGAAAACTTTCTCCATAATTACGTGAATATGTAGTGGGTAGGAGATATGCACATCGTGTCAGAGGCCAGAGAATGGCGTTGGATTCCCTGGAGCTGGGATTACAAGCACAGTCTGTCCCTTGTAGGTGCAAGGAACCAAATGCGCATCCTCTGCAAGAGCAGTGCTCTTTCTTGACTGATGAGCCGTCGCTCCAGTCCTACTTTCTCCTTTTTATCAGTCTGGGGCCCCGGCCAGTGGGATGGCACTGCCCACATTCAGGAGCTGGGGACAGGGAGGATCTTCCCTGCTCAGTCAAACCTCTCAGGAAACACCCTGCCAGACACAACCAGAAGTGTGTCTCCCAGGTGATTCCAAATCCCCACCAAGGTGACAATGAAGATGACTCAACACCACATCCTCTAAATGACTGAACTCTGATCTCAAAGGAAACTGAATAAACCAAGGTGTTTGTTACACTCAGGCCATTCAGTCAGCCATTCTGTCCAATAAGCACATACATCACCTTTATTCTCTCCGCTAAATAAATATTTAACAAATATTAAAAGAATAGTGATAACAAGAGACGTCCAATAACTGGTCTGTCTAGGAGTTCTGTGCCCCCATCCAGCTCTGCATGGCTTGGGGACACACCCTTTCCCTCACCCTTTCCAACAGGATGAGCCTGGCTGGGTGGGTATCCAGTGCCTGTGGCCAGCTGCATCAGCTGTGAGGAGGCTGCAACCAGCAGGGCCAACTGCTCGCCTAGAGGCTGGCTGAAGAAGCAATTGTGCCTGGAGGGCTGTGGATTTTTCTAAGCCCACACTTGACTCTGTCTGCACAGATCCCACCTGTGCTAGGGAGGCATAGCTATCAGGCGGGATGAGAGAAGAAAGGGAAACACCTTCACACAGCAGAGCTCCCATGTCCGCCGACACTTGAAAAGTTCCACGGATACAGGCATGCAGGCACCCTGAGATAGCCTCATACTGTGGGACATGTAAGTTAGGGGAAAGCACAGCTTTGTGTGTGTGAGTGCATGTGTGTACACGGCCCTGTGTGTGTGCATGTGTATACATGCCTATGAGCACAGGAATCTTTCAGTAGCTGTGGGCATTCTCAGCTCTCCTGTACCAACATGTATATGCAGCACCTATACAGGCCAGAGAAACGTGTGTGCATACATGCAGTCACCCTGAACCCTCAAAGAATGCCCATGCACACGTGCTTAAGAACTCACGTACTCCATCCCCTCTGAGAACTCCCCACTCCGAGGGTGGGAGCAGGCACTTACTGTATCTGCTGCCCATCCCATCCCCTCTCACCCTCCAAATTAACCCTGCTCACTCCTGGGACCACCACCCACCCAGGACATCCCGTGCAGGAGAGAAAAAGGTAACCCTGGAATGTGTCTGCTCAATCTCAAATCCTGGCGACCAGGTTTTAGCAGTCAGACATTTTTGCAATTGGGGTTCCTGGGTCCCGCCCCTAGAGACTAATTAACAGTGATCTGGGGAGGGAACAGGCTCAGGAGATAAACACTGCCAGCGTGGTTTTCAACACTGTCCCAGGACTGAGAATGACTAAAGACCCCTGCGTTTGTGGGAGTTCTTGGTCTTGGCAGGACTGATCCTGAGATGTGACGTTGGCGCTCCATCGCTGGACATCCTGGTCTGACCTCTCCTCACCACCTAGATTCTTCTCGAAGCACCAAGGAAAGCAGCAAATCGGGCGCACGCTCACGCACCGCGACTGCCCCCTGCTGGAAAGAGCCTGCGGTGCTCAGCCTCTGCAAGCTGGGTGTTGGGAGTCCCTCAGACAAGGCCTTAGTCGGGCTTGGTGGCAGACCCCAGCACCAGCTACTCAAGAGGCATTACTTGAGCCCAGGATTGTTGAAGCCAACATGGGCAACATTAACGAGACAATTTTTCAAGGAGACCAGCTGGGCATGAGGGCTCATGCCTGTCACCCCAGCACTTAGGAGACAGAGGCAGAAGAATCAAGGAGAGTTAGAGGCCAACTAGAGCTGCATAGTGAGTTCCAGACCACCCAGGGCTATGTGGGGGCACTCTGATTTAAAAACAAAGGTCTCGCTGAGCGGTGGCGGCCCACTCAGGAGCCGGGGCAAGTGTCTCTGTGAATTGATCTCAGACTGAGTTCCAAGACAGCCAAGGCTACATAGTGAGCTCCTGCCTTCACACCTCTGCACCGTCCTGCCAATCTCAGCCTCTCCCAGCCTTCTAGAAAGCCCTCTCACCAGTCACCATGCTCCTCCTGTGCCTCTCCTCCCTGAAGGACCTACTTACAGCAAGTCTCCCATTATGCCTTGACCTCCAGCACCCCACTGGGAGTCCTCAGGGCAGAGGGAACGGGACCGTGGGATACAGAAAGCCTTCTCCAGTGGGTCCCCTACCACTAGGGCAAGGGAGACCTCAGTAAACTGTCACCTGTACTCCTCACACTCAATGCCAGGTACTTATTTTGTTCTAAGCAGTTTGCTAATAATAATTCATTTAATTCACACATAATTATCCTTTCTTTAATGTATAGAAAACTAAGGCACAGAGAGGTTAAGTGAGACCCAAATAAACACACAGCAGCTCAATCCAGAGCTGGGTCTCAGCCCAGGGGTCGGCTCACAAAACCACACTGGTAACCACCCTTCCCTCTTCAGGGAAGAGAGCAAATGAAGCAATGGGGATCTATGTGCCCACGGGCCCAGGCCAGCTTCCCAGTCCCTTTCCAGCACAAGTCAGCCTGGAGTCTCAGCCGGGTGGCAACTCTGGGGCCACGGCGTCTCTTGCTTCCTGCTTAATTTTTCTGACAAGAGCAGATGCCACAGCAGCTGACAGCCAGCCTGTAGGATTGAACAGGAAGGCGGGCCCAGCCCTCATTTGTCTGGTGGAAAAATGGATTTGGACAAGGAGACTGCTGAGCTTCAGGAGACAGGGAGAACCCATGGGTGACAAGTACAGATGGGATCCAAGCAGGCTGAGGTGGGTTCAGGGACAGGACAGGAGGCCCCAGACGCCAGTGGAGGGTCTGCTAAGCCCTGCCCCGTCGCTGTTTTCCTTCCCCTCTTCCTTTCTCCCTCCTCTCTGCCTTCCCTCCAGTTCCTGATCAGGCACCCGGCCTGCACCAGCCTCCAGGGACGAAAGGCTGACACGGGCCCATCACTGTCCTCAAGGCCATCCAGGCAGACTCAGAGACGCTGCAGTGGTGCAGACACTGAGGCCCATCTGTTGGGGCACAGCCTCCACTGCTGACGATCCATGCCAACCGCACAGGCACCTATATCCTTCCCCCACATGGTGCAGTGCTAATGGTCTTGCTTCCACGGTGTGAGAAGGCTTAAGTGGATTGACCCATGTGGTGCGCTCTAGAACAATGCCTGGTACGTGGCCAGTACCTTCTCCCACTCACAGCACCCAGGAGAAGACCAAATGCTAGCTCCAGGGACACCCCCACACTCCCCTTACTCATTTGTCACACTTAGACTCACACTCCAGTGTACCCCTGAGATCTAAGCTCCACTCCACCTGGTGCAAGGCCCTCTTTACCAGATGGGAAGTTCACCATATGTGATGTGCCCACGCTGCTCAGGTCCCTTCTGTCTGAGCCCACCTTTCCAGCCCCAAATCTTAGAAGATGTAGTGGCACAGCTTTCTGCCCCAAGCCTGGTATGGCAGCCTCACCAGTCGTTGGAGTATAGAGGATAAGTAGCACCCACACACACTGCAGAAAGTTTCTCTGTGATCAGACAGTTCCTCCTTAGAGCAGGCCTCAGTCTCTCCAGCTGCAGTGCCAACTACAGAGGGACTGCAGGGTTGATCTATAAGGGGCTTGCCGGGATTTAGCGCCAGGACTGCCGCCCATAGCCCACAGGGGTAAGAGAACAATGCCCAACTTTGTGTAAGTTTCCTCCTAAGACTGAAACATTTCACCCTGCAGGGGCCACTTCTTGTTTTTGTCTTGTTTTTTTATTTGGATTTTTGAGACAGGGTTTCTCTGTGGCTTTGGAGGCTGTCCTAGAACTAGTCTTGTAGATCAGGCTGGTCTCGAACTCACAGAGATCCGCCTGCCTCTGCCTCCAAAGTGCTGGGATTAAAGGCGTGCACCACCACCGCCCAGCTGCAGGGGAGCTTCTTATATTTTTGGTTGTGAGCCTAGCCTTTAAAGGCTGAGCTACCCCTCCAGCCCTAGGGGAGCTTCTTAAACCAGAAGATAAACAACACTAAATAGCTTCAGGAAGTCTCTGAGACTAATCAGACTCACTAGGCCCCTCCCTCCCAGAGTATGCAATAAAAGGCAGAGTGCTACTCTCAGACAAAGAAGACAGACCACTCAAGCTGCATAGAGAAGCAGAAACCAGCAGAGACACCTGGAAAGAACATTCTCCAACCTGTTGAGCTGCCTGCAGGCTCTGGGGTGTGCAGTGTAGTGTACTCGGGGTTCCCAGCTTTGTGAGCTGTCACCCACGCTGGGGTGAGTGTAGGTGATGCAGCTTTGAGTCACTTCTGTTCCTGTAAGTGACCCCTCTCCTATATTCCTGTTAAGTAACCCCAGTCAAACTCATTGGTTCCCCATGTTGGACCCAGGTGGTGTCTGTACCTTGGTCTCTTGTGCGTTCCCTATCTGGGGTGAGCAGACAGATGTGTATGTCGTATTCCTCCAGGAAAGGTCTTGTTGCACAACATCCAGGAGTTGGGCACACTTCTAGCCTTAGCAGGCCCTTCAGAGATGCATTTACGTCTGTGGATTCTATGTGTTGAGTATGACCTGGGAAGGGGGGGGGTGTAAAGTGGGCGATAACTGTGTTTGGTCCTCTGCTTCGCATAACTCAGCTCAATGTCTCTAAAAACATGGCTGTGCCTTGGCCACGGGTGCTGGCTCAGTAGCTTGTGCTCATGGTTAGTGTCATGTGTGGGACAGCCACTCCATGGTGTGTGCTCTGTCTGCACATCTGCACTTGCTACCCAAGAGAGGCCTCCTGAGCCCTTCTACAGCCACATACACAGGCACAGAGGTTTGGATCAAGCCCCAGGTCTGCAGTGATCTTACAGACCCCTCAACACACACACACACAAACACACACACACACACACACACACACACACACACACACACACACTACTGCTGCTGTCTTCCCTGTCCTCCTGTGCTAGCTGGCTTTATGTCAGCTTGACACAAGCTAGAGTCATTTGGGAAAAGGGAGCCTCAGCTGAGAAAATGCCCCACCAGATTATGCTGGGTGTACTATGTAAATTAGGGACTGATGAGGGAGGGTCCAGCTCACTGTGGGTGTTGCCGTGCCTGGACTGGCAGTCCTGGGAGCTATAAGAAAGCAGGCTGAGCAAGCCATGGGGAACAAGCCTGTAAGCACCGCCCCTCCATGGCCTTGGCGTCAGCTCCAGCTCCAGGTTCTTGCTCTGTTTGAGTCCCAGTCCTGACTTCCTTCAGCAGTGGAGTGTGACCTAGAGTTGGGATAATAAACCATGGAGTTTTAGCACAACACTAGAAACCCTAAGACACCTCCCCTCTCCTGTATTCTCCTTCCAGACCCTTCCCTAGGCTGTTGCTCAGCTTGAAATCCTCCCATCCCAGAAATTCATACTCACCTAGAAAGACCACAAAAACAGCTTCACTCTGAGAAGCCTCACCTGAAGGCTGTGCTTTCTCCTCCAGGAAGGCTTCCCTAACTTACCAAAAGCTGGCCCAAGAGCTCCATGGCTCTGATGCCCCTCAAGGTGTGCTTAATGCCTCTACCATGTCTGACAGGGAAGTCCTGAGGACAGGCAGAACCTGACTCCACTGAGCCTCTGGCCTGGCACACACAACAGCCAGAAGGAGGGAGAGCTGAGGTCATCAAAGAGAAGAGGCAGGAAGCAATGAATGGGTAGAAAGGGAGGAATGGGGGGAAGTTTCTTGCTTCCCCTTTTGCAGGCTGTTGCTGGCCCAAGCTCAGAGTGACAGTGCAGCCAGCTCTTCCGGATGGTTTTGCGCTGGGCCCGCTGCCATACCTTGTGACTCCAAACTGAAGAAATGACTGGAGAAATTGCTGCCACCACTTCCTTTGAGAGTGAGAGAAACAGGATAGGCCCCCATTAGCCTTGGACTGACCCAAAGCTGCTCTCCCCCTCTCCCTCTGCTGTACCCAGTCCGTTACCTCTAAAACCAACAGCCTGGACAGCCCGAGTTGTCACCAAGTCCAGGTGGACCTGTGCAGAGGGGGTGAGCTGGGGACAATCACACACCTCAAAGGGAAGCTTTTTGTTTCTGTGTAGCCTTGACTGTCCCAGAACTCACTTTATAAACCAGACAGGCCTTGAACTCAGAGATCCACCTGCCTCTGATTCCTGAGTGCTGGGATTAAAAGTGTGCATCCCCACCCCCCCACCCCTACCCTGGCTGTGAAGCTGTTTCTTTAAATATTTCTGTCATCCTACCTCCCTCATCCCAGGCAGAAGCCACCAGGTCCAAACACCCCTGAGACATTTCCTTATCCCTCTGTGAGCCCAACTGATACAGGAAGGAACCCCAGAGAAACCAGCCAAGCTATGGTCAGCCATGTCCAATGAACTGCAAAGGGCCAGTCTTCTTCAGCAGCAATAACACACACTGTCAAGGCTACATGGTCCAGCAACTCCTCTTGCAGACAGACCAAAAGAATGGCAAGCAATTTTAAACTGATTTTTGTGTAGTGATGTATACTAGCAGAGGGAGCCATGGTCGCCAGGAGTTGTAAGCTAAAAATGTCCATCAACAAATGCCTGGGTGAATACAGAACTTCAGCTCCATGCAGACGGCATACATTTAAAAGGAAGTTAGTTCCCACTCAGCTGCAACATGGGTGATTCTCAAAGGTACTGTACCAAGCGAAAGAATACAGGTGCACATGGGAAAACATCACATGATTCCATCTTGAAGAGTGCCTAGATCAGCTAAGCTCAAAAGCACAGTAAGTAGACCAGGTCTGGTAGTATTTAGTAAATAGTGATGGCAAGCAAATGCCATCACTATGACTGATGTGATGGCCACAGCCAATATGGATGTACTCCAATGGATCTGATGCCCTCTACTGGCTTCCATCGGCAACTGCACACACATGCACATACACACAGGCAGACACATACACATAAATAAAAATAAATTCTTTTTTTAAGATCTTTAAAACTAGACAGGCAGTGGTGGTGCATACCTTTAATCCCAGAACTCAGGAGGCAGAGGCAGATGGTTGTCTGTGAGTTCTAGGCCAGCCTGGACTACAGAGTTCCAGGACCGGCTCCAAAACTACACAGAGAAACCCTGTCTCACAAAACAAAACAAACAAAAATATCTTTAAAAATTCAATGAAACCAGATATGTTGCTATGTGCCTATAATCTCAGCGCTTGGGAAGCAAGATAGGAGGATTATGAGGAGTTTGAGGCGAATATGAGCTACATAGCTACCTAAAAGAAGACAACACCACCAACAACAACAACAAAAAGAGTAGGAGGAGGAAGGGGAGAAGGACAGAAATAAAAATAAAAGGCTTTCTCCAGCTACTGTGTTCTTTTCAGTTTATTTCTATTTCATGTGCATTGGTGTTTTGCCTGCATGTAAGTCTGTCTGAAGAGTCAGGTCCCCTGGAACTGTAGTTATAGGCATATATGAGCCATCATGTGGGTGCTGGGAATTGAACCTGGGTCCGCTGAAAGTGCTCTTAATTGCTCGGCCATCTCTCCAGCCCTCCAGCTGCTACTGTATTTGGGGCAGGTAAGAAGCCCCGCTGACCTGGGATCCACATGGCAGAAGGAGAGAGCTGATTCCCTGAGTTATCCTCAGACTTTTACAAGGTCATTACGGCACATTTGAACCCACACCCATACACACAAATAAATAAGTGAATACATAAGGCTAGAGAGATGTCTCAGCCATTAAGGGCATGTGAGGTTATTGCTGAGGACCTGAGTTCAGTTCCCAGCACCCACATCAAGTGACTTACAGCTGCATGTAACTCCGGCTCCAAAGAATCCAGCACTTTCTTCTGAACTCTACAGACATACACATGTGCACACCATTCAAAATAAAAATAATATGTTGATCAAAGTAAAAAATTTTAACAGCCTACAGTATTTTTTTGGTTTGGTTTTTGGTTGGTTGGTGTGTGTGTGTTTGTGTGCCGGTTTTTTTGAGACAGAGTTTCTCTGCATAACGGCTCTGACTGTCTTGGAACTCACACTGTAGACCAGGCTGGCCTTGAACTCACACAGATCCTCCTGCCTCTGCCTCCTGAATGCTGGGATTAAAGGTATGTACTGCCACCACCCAGCAGCATGCAGTATGTTTAAACTAGTTACAGCTATTATTTTTCCAAAACCTTAAACCTTCATTATTTTGGGTGTGGCATCTTGCTAAACTCTCACATTTGCCATAATTAAGTGTTTTAGTTAATTTTATTAGATTTTCTAGTAATAAGATTACATCTCTGACAAATGATGACAATTCTCCCATAAATTCCATAGTTCTGCTCTCTGTTCTGTTGCCTCACTGTTCTGAGCTCTTTGCTGTGCCTGGACATGCCAGACTTCAAGGTAGCTGTAGGAGAAAAAAAAATGTCAGCAAGCAGAAGCAAGTGACTAACAGGCAAATGACAGCCTGGGGCAGTGGCAGAGGATGGGGTGATGGTGCAAAGCTGGACCAGGACTGGAAGTGAGCTCCTCCGGGGATGCACAGCATGGCTGGCCAGCTCAGCATGCATCTGGGTCTATTCACCTGAAGCCCGTGGGCCAGCAGCATGCCCAGGCCCTCAGGCACTGTGATGGTCTCCTGGCACCCACAGCATCTCTCTCTGTTACCACACTGACAGCTGTCATGCTGGGGACTTTACCCAGACCTAAACCAAGCAGATCCAGGAATCCTCATTTGCATGCTCCAAGCAAGTACAAAATGGAGAGGGGTCCATTTCTGTCTTCAGTGAGGAAACTCAGTCCTGTCTCTATCCTGTTTAGAGTGCGAACTCCTGTTCATACTTAAAAGCCTTATGGATAATGCATCTAACTATAGGTCATAAATGAAGCTCAGGCTTTGATTGGCCTATCCAAGAGAAGCCAGGATTCAGAGGAAGAAGCCTGACATCCAGTCCATCCAGATGTTCACATTCAATGTAAATCTCTCTTGATACCATTAAGCCAAATAAGCTCAAACCGCTTGTACTGGTTAAGGGTAAGTCTCTGCTATTTGTAGAGTCAAGCCAATATTGTAAAAAATAAAAATTTAAAAAAAGGTGATATTTTTCACAGGGACTATCATTCCATTGCAATGAGCCATCTGAAAAGGGGGGTAAGTGAGAAGAGTAATTAGAATTCTCAGTTTATAAACATTTCCCAAAATGTGAATTCAAGAGAGAAATTAGCAGGTCTTTTCATTGTCTGCTCCGTATTTACAGTCACACTTCATCTACCTACTTCTAGGTTAATTAACATTTTCATAAATAAGGCAGCCTCACAGGTTTCTACCCGCGCCCGTAAGGAAAGGGTGAGTGGTCACAGTGAGGCTATGGTGTGGGTACACTACAATGTACAAGGCTTTGGAACACACTATTTCACATTCACTGAGATGTCTAGCCCCGAAAGTTCCTCACTCCGACAAAACCGCACACTTACAGTTCCTGGGCCGTTAGTGTCTCCGGTTCCTGACATCACTGATGCCATTTAGTCTGTTCCAGTCTTCTGCTCATCGTGTGTCCAAATGCCTCATAATTAAAGGAGAACCTACTCGAGTGTTTGTTTGTTTGTTTGTTTGTTTTGGAGACAGAGTATCTTGTAGCCCAGGCTATCCTCAAACCCCCTTGCATTTCCAGTCCTCCTGCCCCCGCTTGCCGAGTATGCGCCGTCACATCCATTTAGTGTGGTGCTGAGACCGAACCCAGGGCTCCACACGTGCTAGGCAAGCACTCTACGGCTGGCACGTGCTCTGCTCAGAGAAGAATTTATTTTGCCTTGTGGTTGGAAAGGGTGTGGTCTCTCAGTAGGAAGACCATGGAAATGAAGCAGCTCGTGGAGGTGGAACAGCTCATGGTCCACACTAGGAGCAAAAGATGCTCCTGTCCCAGAGAACCAGGAAACAGAGCTAGGACCAGAAGTAGGGTCAGCCTGTAACCACAAGTCCACCCCTTCCTGCCCTACACCTGCCAACTAGACCTCAGGTCCAAAAGGTTCCACAGTCCCCCGCTAGCAGGGGACCAAGTGTTCAAACAGATGAACCTGTGAGGGACATTTCCCACTTAAACTTCTTCATCACACGAGCCCCAACTCATACTTAAAAACCCACTGAAGACAGGATTCCACCTCTTTCCCCAGTGGGATGTGAGGGGGTGACTGGCGACCCTGTCACGCTTGGCAAAGTCAGCCGACTTTCTGTCCCAATAAAGTGACATCGAAATAGACCCCACCTATGGCCCTGGGAAAGCGCCAGCGTCCCGGCTGTAAGAACCCACTCAAGCTTCGTTGCTCCTACCATCTCTGTCAGTGGAGGGCGAAAGTCTAAGTTGGCCTCGGCCTGAGGCCATCTATGTATCGTTTTTTTTTTTTGTTTTTTTTGGTTTTTTTTTTTTGTTTTTGTTTTTGTTTTTTTTTTTTTTTTGGTTACTGGCCCTCAGGCCAGCACAGCCCTTCAGCCTTCAAACAGGCCTCAAAGAGACTTTCAGGTAAGCCTCAGATGCGTTCTAAAATTGGTCCCTCAGACAGAAGGGCTGCTTGCATAGGGACAGAGCTGAGGCTGTCTCCCTCAGAGACTCCTCTCCTCCCCAGAAAAGGGACCTGATACCTAATGTCTACACTCTGCCAGAGTCCCATCTTCATTTGTAGCCTATGACTCTTGTCTGAAGGCTCAGTGGGTGAACGAAAGATGCTGTGTGGCCTTGAGGACCAGTGACTGCCTCAAGGGCCCCATTTAGCAACCAGAGTGGCCTTTTCCGTAGAGCCAGAGCATAGCAGGAAGCTGGGCAGAAAGCTACCACAGACAAGGACAAAAAGGACCAGTAGAG